GAGAGAGAGAGAGAGAGAGAGAGAGAGAGAGAGGAGAGAGAGAGAGAGAGAGAACAAAGAGAGGGATTGAGGGAGTCTTTACCTATGTACATAACATGTGTATGTCTCTGTGGGTGTGACATGTTTATATGCAGGAGTCAGTGCTTGTGTGTATGTTTGGTATGCGCACACACATGCATGCAAATACATGTGTGTACACAATAGAGATTGTGTGGTGTTATGACAATGTCTGTCTCAGCTCACCCTCTCAGCAGGTCCTGTCTGTCTCAGGTGTGGTAGTCATGACTGTACTGTGCACTGATTCCTGACAGCACCTGTGAGGTGATGCTGGCCACTCCTGCCCACCCCTACTCCTTGTCTTCACTCTGGGCCCATCTTCCTCTGCTAGCTGCTCTCTCCCACCTCCCATCCCCCATCCTGCCCTCTCACTTACTCCAGGATTTCCCCTTTCAGAGATGTAACCCCCACCCCACCCCCATCCCTGTGCTCACCTGGGACCTGCAAGAGGAGCAGAGCTGAAGGCAGCCACACTCCCATCACTCCTGGGGTCATTTCTTCAGCTCTGTTGTCCTCTGCCCACACCAAGCCCAAGAGGAGGAGGGGCAGTGTTCTTCTAGAAAGCCCAGTGTTCACATGTCAAGTTCTGCTTTCTGTCCTCTGCTTCCTGCTCCCTTGGCAGGCTCCAGATGAACTGGTACAGGAAGTGCTCTGAAGAAGGTCCAGGACTCAGGGGCGCAGGTTCCCATCACTCCCAGTGAAGGACACATCCCTGGCCATGGATTGAGGATGTCACCGGTCCCCCAGCCTTCAGCTAAGGGCTTCACAACCTTCCCACCTATGGCCAGCCTTTGAGAGCCTCTCCATTTTTGTTCATGCTGTCCATCCTCTGTGATAAGCCACTTCCTGAGCTGACTTGAGATCTGTCTATCTTATCTTGCTCCATCTCAGGGAGGAGAGGAACCACCTCCTTCACTCTTGTGATTCCGACACCATGTGTGCCTTGTTGCTCCAGTGAAACCCTCTTGAGTTCATTGTGAGTGGGAGGTTCATGGGACAATTCTGATGGATGCTTGGCCAGTCTTGTCTTTGTATCTTGGGTCTTGTTAACCCCCCCAGGTGGTGAACATGGATGGTAAACACATTGTCATGTCTGTATTTCTCTTCTCATTTATTCCCCATGGGGACATGTGCAGTGCTGGGACTGAGCAGAATGAAGGTATTGGGGGCCTTCTGGAGAGCCTGCTCCAAGGCCACCTCCAGGCTAATGCAAGAGAATCCACTAAGTTGGCATGGGTTAGACTGTTTCTATCTGAGAGTATTTAGAAATAAGTTTTAATCATCTCTTACTGGTGAAATAAGGAGACACACATGCTTTCTGATGTTAACTTTCTCTTTTACTTGATCTTAATAACCAATTAATTGCCTATGACTCTTCCTGTCTCCACACAGCTACACATCTCCACACTGCTGCATACAGCTGCAGATCTTTACAGACATTCATCTTTTCACATGGCTACACAATTTCTTTGACATACATTTCTCTTCTTCATCTCTTTTCTAGGCAGCTTCATCTTCCATGTCTGCACACAGCCACAGCTAAGCATCATCTAAACAGCCCTCTCTCCACACAGCACCTTACACAGCTCCTAGGCACAGCTCCTCCAAGTAGCAGCCGCTCTTCCACACAGCTCTCTCTCTCTCTCTCTCTCTCTCTCTCTCTCTCTCTCTCTCTCTCTCTC